GAACCATTCCATGCGTGTGGTAGATGGGATATATCAGAAGAAGAGAAAGGAGAACGGAGAGAGAGAGGGGGGTCAGGTAAGAAAAACCAATTAGATGGATAGATCAACGGACGCTCGTAAAAAGGGACAAATAAAGAAGACGGAGGCTGGTGTAGTTATGGTTGGCCACCAGCAACAGCAGCGCTGGGTCAGTGAGAAGACCCGGCGAAGAGGCTTCCTTCCTGAGGCCTAAAAAAGGAAAAGTACCAGATAAACAAATAATCGACAAATAATGTCTACTATATATTTAACAGTAGTAGTTTTTGTGTTTACCTTGGCGGAGGGAATCCGGCCGGGGCGCCCAATGAAAGGAGGTTTGATAAAGGCGAAGAAGTCGACCGCTAAACCTGTTACTGCTGCTGGTGGTAACCAAGTAAGAAGCTGACAGGAACAGAGGAAGTAATATGAGCCAACAGGCAAAAAAGAGGATAGACAGACGATGAGTCCGACAGTACCCTCATGCTCTACACGAATCAGGCTACGGCAAAAGGAACCAGACGGTGCACAAAAAACCTACCGTCATTAGAAGGTACAGGAGGATTGTTTCCAGTGAATTCTACAAATTGTGAAAAAAATGGCAAATAGAAACTGGTGCCGAGGGAGTCAAATTAAAAAAAGGATAAAAAAAAGCTTGGAGATGCCAACACTGGGTGGATAGGATGGTTGGGGAAATCAACATAAGGACTAAACAGTTTCATCAACGCTAGACATCAAAAATATCACGCGGGTTTCATAGGCAATGTACGCGCCAAGGATCAAAAGGTCACGGGTTCGAGCCTCAGGTGAGACATCACCTGGGATTGGGTATAACTGGCTGATGACGGCTAATAAAGGACACAAGTGAGAATAGAAGATTAAGAATGAATGGCTACCTAGTCAAAGTGCACTTCAATACCACCGTTTTTGTTGTTAAATGTGATACTACTCACCAAGAGAAATTTCAACGACCATCTCACCTCGTTCGTTTGCTTCTTCCTCTTGTAGCATTGAGAGGGGGACGCCAGATTCTACCTCACTGTGCTGCGAAGCCTCCAATTTCTCCTGTTGAACACCTCTCATCTGTGGGACGAGTTCGGCCTCCTCAACGCCTACTTGCAAGGAAACGGGAAGCGCGTAAATCAGAAATTACAGAATAAGACTTAACTAATGATATGATGCATTTGATCCCCTTGTGGAAAAAAACGGTGGGATTCGAACCAAGGACTGCGAGGGGAACGCTTCCGTACAGTCAACGCTCTAGCCACCTAAACTATGCGGCCCCACCGGGAGCCGAGAGTGCGATAACATGTGGATCAAGTTACCTGTCCACCAGTCCACAGCCACCTATGGAAGCCGCCAGTTCCGATAGGCTAAGCTAGTTGCGCAATTAATGTAGCATCCACCAGGTGCACTTATCTAGAAGGACAATCAACTGAATTAATCGATCCTGCCAAAATCCCCTACTGTTAGGCCTATGCATCTGGAGTTAGGGGTTAGAGTATCAGTGTTTTCAACTTTAGTTATACCTTAAGTCATCAGGAGAATTGGGTTTAAAAAT